ATAAGAATGGGAAAACTGGCTACGTCTCTCAAAGGCTGAAACGCTTGGGAGAGTGGGCCCTGGACATCACCTGGGTAGCAGGGCAGAACTGGCACTGGTTACAAAGGTTTCTGCTGAGTATGCTCCAATGGCAGGAGAGCTGGAAAGCCAGCAGGCTGACCAGCTCAGATACCTCTCAGGCCCAAATCCAGGGCTTTGAATTGACCTGCCCCAACATCCACCCTATCTGTGAACTGCTGGAGTGCATGAAGAGGCCAGTCCTACAGATCCAAAACTGCAGGATCATCATGACTCAGGCCAGTACCAGGATATCTGAGAGGAGGCACAGTGAGGTAGTATTGATAGAATAGCAGTAAACCTGAGAGGCTTCTTACTGGACCAAGAAGTCATTGCAATGAACATTTGTAAGCAAAGAAGTATGGACAAAAGGGTACACCGTGGGACACACTGTGACACACTACAGTTTCCACAAAAGAGATTTTTTTTCTCTGTTGGGGGCTGGTTACCAAGGTGGAGGGCAGGTATGAGGGGGAGAGAGGGATGAGCGGTATTGGTGTGCATGATGTGAAAATCACACACACACACACACACACACACACGATAAAAAAGTTAAAACTACCTAACATTTTTCTGGATTTTGAATTTTTCTGCTAAGATTATTAGAAATTGTGGTTATCACGTTAACTTTTTACTTGATGTTCTACTTCTCCATTCTGAAGTATAATCTGTGTTGGTCAAAATTCTCTCAGTTTTAGGAGTTCCTTTAGTGAGTACAAGTCTTGCTTTTATGCAATAAAGTCTCACTTTCTGGAAAATTCTCATCTCTTTTCTGAGAACACATTTAAGCAAATTGCCAATGATTTTTTATATATTTTTATAAATTATCTGATCTTAGTTATTTACCTTTTAAATAGCTATTAGCAAGTTGTCACTGTATAAAGAGATAGCTTCATAGTGACATTTTCCTACCATTTATTTTGATCATTTTTATGATATCACCATATTGCTCTCCACTCTCTGTTCCATATCTTGTTTCTTCTCTTGATGGATCTTGTGTTGAATGGTGAGAGAAAGTCATGGCTTCAGAGCAGATTCAGAGATAGAGACTTCAGAAAAACAAGCTAGAAAACAGACCCCAAAGGATTCATTAATGTACTGTTTCCTAGACTAACATTTCCAGGGGAGGCCATTTCAGCTGGGAGATAGGTCCCGCTGAAGACAGCGATAGAAAAAAGAAGAAAGGAGGCCATGAGCTCCAAAGACGAAGTAGTGTGCTCCTCAACAAAGCCTCATTTCACAGCTGTCCTCAGGTGTATTTAGGTGGGGCTCTTTGTACATTTCTTTCATTTCTACCTCTTTCCTACATCTTTGATCTTTGCTCCCAGAAGGAGGAAGGATGAAGAAATCTGAGCATGTGGACCCACAACCAGTTGGATAACTGACACAGAGCTAGAGGGCTTCTTCCATGAGACCTGTGGAACAGAAAGAGTTTCTGCTCGTTCTCAGATATGAGAACTGTAAAGACATCTTGAGCTTAGCATACTACTCAAAGACTGTTAGATGCCTGGCTGCCTCCACATCTCTCTCCAGAGAACATCTGTAGATGGAAGGAAAGAATTGGTCAGTCCTGACACTTGACATTGTAAGAATTCCTTCTTTACCTAACCAACTTAGCAAAACAAAATAAGTAAGTAGAACTGAAAAGCCACTTCTGCCCTCCTTTGTACTAAATAATTTCAATTTATTTAGCAGAGGTAGTCAGGCAGCTAGGCTTCTCATCACCAGGGTAATGAATTTGTCTCTCATTTACTGAAATGAATATAGCCTCTGCTCATGTTATGTTAATAAATAAAATTTAAAGACCCTAAAGTCTCAAACTAGAGTATCAGATTTGCTATTTCTTTGAGTTCCATTGTCCGTTCAGCTGCTCTATTTTAAGACTGATAAAGGCATGTTCAGACCCCAGAAGCACATGTATCTGCTTTGTTGTAAATACACATCACTTTATACTGCAGTAATGGTTCATCACTTTTTACGAAGGTACCATTCTCTAGCAGTTTAGTAATAGAGATGTGAACTGTTCTCTACTGGGACATTTATGTGCATGGTGTGCTGGTATATCCTGTGTGCTCCTTACATGTACTTCCGTGAGTCCTCATGTCCTACCTCCTCGATGTCCTACATCCTGCTGTAGTGTTACATCCTTTCTATTTCTGGAACAGTATGTTTGTGTATGGCTGTACTCAGACATCCTTATGTTCTGCTTCATGAGAAGATCGTACTCCAGAGGTGAGTGCCTCCTTTCCAGTAGTAATTTCATTTTATTTTCATTTATTTATTTTGTTCACTTTACACCTTTGTAACCTCTTCTCTCCCTCCTCCCAGTCTAGCCCTCTATTCCGCCTCCTTCTATCTTCTCTTTTCCTCAAAAAAGGGGAGCTCCCTTTGCCATCCACCTGAGCTCATCAAGTTGCATCAGGAATGAAAATGTCCTCTTCCTCTGTAGCTTGTCAAGGCAGTCCTGCCAGAGGAAGGTGATCTAAAAGCTGGCAAGTGAGTCCCTGTCCTATGCAGTCCCCACTTCTCTTACTCTAGTATCCTCCTGAAGCCTAAGCTGCCAACCTGCTACATCTTTGTAGGGGGCCTAGGTCCAGTTTATGCATGGTCCTTGGTTGATGCTTCAGTCTCTGCAAACCCCTCTGGGCCCTGGTTAGTTGGCTTTGTTGTTTTTCTTGTGGAGCTCCTGTCACTTCTGGGTCTTTTTCTCTTTCCTCCCACTATTCTGAAAGACTCCTCATGCATTGACCAATATTTGGCAGTGAGACTCAGTATCTGTGTTAAGGTGCTGCTGGGTAGAGCCTCTCAGAGGACACCTCTGACAGGCTCCTGTCTGCAGGCTTAGCAGAACATCCTTCATAGTGTCAGGGTTGGCGCTCCCTGATAGGGTGGGTCTTTGGTTGGGCCAGGCATCGGTTGGGCATTCTCTCACTCTCTGATCTATCTGCTCTATCTTTATCTCTACATATCTTATTGTCAGGGTCAATTTTGGGTTGAAGTTTTTGTGGGTGAGTTGGTATTCCCATCTATCTGCTAGGAGACTAGTCTAGTTAGAAGGTGTCCTCTTCAGTCTTTATGGTCTCTGCTACTAGGAGTTTGTGCTTGAATCCCCCTCATATCCTTCCAGGATCCTACCCTGATTTAGGCTTTCAGCTTGTCACAGAGATGTCCCTACCCTCAGTTTCCTTTTTTTTTCCTACAGGCTTTCTGTCCTCTTACCCTTGCTCTCCTCAAATCTCATCTCCACCATATTAACTCTCTGTGCCCCCTGTCCTATCTTGTTCTCTCTCTTCAGCCATTACCTCAGTCTATTCTATCCCCCCTTCTCAGTAAGATTTATGCATCCTCACTTGGGTCCTCCTTATTACTTCTCCTCTTTGGGTCTTTGCCTTGTAGTATGCTTATCTTGTACTATATGGTTAAAATCCACTTATATGTAATACATACTATGTGTGCCTTTCTGGGTCTGGGTTAACTCACTCAGGATGATCTTTTCTAGTTCCATGCATTTGCCTGCAAATTTCATGATTTCTTTGTTTTTAACAGCTGAGTAGTATTCCATTGTGTAAATGTGCCACAGTTTCTTTATCTATTCTTTGGTTGAGGGACATCTAGGTTGTTTCCAGAATCTGGCTATTAGCAATAAAGCTGCTATGAAAATGTTTGAGCAAGTGTGCCTGTTGTATGCTGAAGCACCTTTTGGGTATATGCCTAGGAGAAGTATAGCTGGGTCTTGAGGTATAGTTATTTCTAATTTTCTAAGAAAGTGACAAATTGATTTCCAAAGTGGCTGTACAAGTTTACACTCCCACAAGCAATGGAGGAGTGTTCTCCTTTCTCCACATCTTCAGCAGCATGTGCTGTGACTTGAGTTTTTTTATCTTAGCCATTCTGACTGGTGTTAGATGAAATATCAGAGTTTTTTTTATTTACATTTCCCTGACTAAGGAAGTTGAATATTTAAGTGCTTCTCAGTCATTTGAGATTTCTCTGTTAAGACTTCTCTGTTTAGTTCTGTGCCCCATTTTTAAATTGGGCTATTTTGTTTATTGGTGTTTGATTTCTTGAGTTTGTTATGCATTTTGATTATTAGCCCTGTTGAATGTAGGATTGGTGAAGATCTTTTCCCAATATGTAGATTGTCTTTTTGTTCTATTGACAGTGTCCTTTGCCTTACAGAAGCTTTTCAGTTCAACTAGATGCATTTATTAATAGTTGATTTTAGAGCTTGAGCTGTTGGTGTTCTGTTCAGGAAGTTGTCTCTTGTGCCAATGAGTTTGAAACACTCTCCACTTTCTATTCTAATAGATTTAATGTATCTGATGTTATGATGAGGTCTTTGATCCACTTGGATTTGAGTTTTGTGTATGGAGATAAATATGGATCTATTTGCATTTTTCTCCATGTAGACATCCAATTATCCAGCGTCATTTGCTGATGATGTTGTCTTTCCCCCATTGTAGGGTTTGGGCTCCTTTGTTGAAAGAACAATTCTAAACTTCATATGGAAGGACAAAAAAATCCAGAATGGCTAAAACAATCTTATACAACAAGAGAGCTTCTGGAGGTATCTCCATTCCTGGTTTCAAGCTACACTACAGAGCAATAGTAGTATAATCTGCAGTACTGGCATAGAAGTATTCCAGTACCATGCAGAATTGGTTGATCAGAGGAATCTATTTGAATACCCAGAAATAAACCCACATACCTGTAGCCACTTGATTTTTGACAAAGGATCCAGTAGTAATTTCAACGCTTATCTTCAGAATACTCATCAAGATACAACTAAAAGACAGAAATTTGGATATCAAAAAGAAAAGTTATTTTTACAGAATAAAGATAGCATCTTATTGGGGTATCAAAGTACTAACACAAGACTAGATCTTTATTAATAAAACTTAATAGAGTCATCTATTTCTAGGCATCTAATTATATCACTCAAAATGGAGTTTGGGAACTCGACCTTGGGAAGTGGCTTCATCTTGTTGGGGATTCTAGATGACAGTGGATCTCCTGAACTGCTCTGTGCTACTATCACAGCCCTGTACATGTTGGCTCTGATCAGCAATGGACTGCTGCTCCTGGTCATCACTGTGGACACCCGGCTCCATGTGCCCATGTACCTCCTACTTGGACAGCTCTCTCTCATGGACCTACTCCTTACATCAGTTATCACTCCCAAGGCTGTTGTGGATTTTCTACTCAAAGATAACACCATATCTTTTGGAGGTTGTGCCCTTCAGATGTTTCTAGAACTGGTACTTGGTAGTGCAGAGGACCTCCTTTTGGCCTTCATGGCTTATGACAGGTATGTAGCCATTTGTCATCCTCTGAACTACATGATCCTCATGAGGCCAAGTGTTTGCTGGTTCATGGTAGCCACAACATGGATCCTGGCTTCAGTGACGGCCCTTCTCTTAACTATCTTCACTATGCAGTATCCCTTCTGTAAATCTAGGCAGATCAGACACCTGTTCTGTGAGATCCCTCCCTTGCTAGAGCTGGCCTGTGCAGACACCTCCACATATGAGCTCATGGTTTATTTGGCAGGTGTCTCTGTCTTGATTCTACCTCTTGCTGTTATCCTGACCTCCTATGCACGAATTCTGTTTACTGTACTCCACATGTCTTCAAATGAGGGCAGGAAGAAAGCCCTGGTCACCTGCTCTTCTCACCTGACTGTGGTTGGGATGTGGTATGGGGGTGCTTCCTTCATGTATGTTCTTCCCAATCAATTCCACAGTCCCAAGCAAGATAATATCCTCTCTATTTTCTATACTATTGTCACTCCGGCTCTGAATCCCCTCATCTACAGCTTGAGGAACAAGGAAGTCACGGGGGCCTTAAGGAAGATTCTTGGGAAACGGTTGCTGCCAACACAATCCACTTTCTAGGTATTTCTTTCTAATGGCTACCTTCTAAACTTACTTCCTCCTCACAGTCCGGTTTCAGCTATGAATGTAATACTCCTGGTTAAAGCAAGCCAGCAAATAATGTATCTGCTGATTTAGAATAAAACTACCCTTGTTAAATACTTTGTAACCTTTTCATCATGGTATATTTTAAAGGACAATTACCCAGAGACAACCTCTATGTGTATTTATACGAATCATTCCATTTTGGATTCAGGCAATGATCTTAGTGAGTTATCACACAAATGGTTTCTTCAGAAGTTGACACACTGGGATGTTTTCCTCCTTATTGTATGGTGGCCTTACATGGCAATGATGAAGAGACTCAGGTCTGATGTCAGAGTATAGGGGTTGGAAATTAGTGCATGGCACTTTCTTGAATAACTTAGAACATCTACATAGCCTTTCTGAACCAGGTCTATAAGTTATAAAGCCCTTGTAATAAAACACCTATTTATTAGCACTGCTGTGAGAGCTGGGTAAAACAGCGCACATGAAGACTTTGAGTGAGACCTTTGGAGTATGAAGATTTACTTCATCAATTTTAACAGTCTTAGGACAAAATTGCACTGAAGTTGTAAGTGGTTGTATATGACTTTACATTGGATGTTTTGCAAAATAACTAGCTATTTTGTTGCTATTGAAAATGACCACCTTTCTTGCTGAGTATTTTACCTGGTTTGAGTTGGCACAGGTCTTGTGCATGCTGTCACAACCAATGCGAGTTCATAAAAAATGCAACTGTTCTGTTGTTTCAGAAAGTGCTGTTTCTTTGTAATCGTCCGCCACCTCTGCTTTCTACAGTTTTCCACCCATTCTTTCACAGCAGTGTCTGAGCTTTGGCAGAAGAAGTATGATACAGATGCCCTGGTAGGGCTGCTCTTCCACAGCCTTCTATCCTCTGTGCCTTGGAAAATGTGGGTCTCTGTGTTAATTGCCATCTATTGCAAAAGAAGCTTCTCTGGTGAGGCTAGAGAGATGCACTTGTGTAGATATGCATCTCCATTAACCTGGTTATAGATGTATATATGTATATAGGCATATATAAAGATAAGTCAGTTTAATGGTTTAATACTGTCTCTTTAGCAGAATGATAGTAGTAAGTTTTCTTATAACTTACTTTCCTATGAGCCATCTAGCTACAGATTCTTGGTCCAAATAGCTGTGCCAGATATGTGTTGAGTTTGGTAGAGTAAGACGTAAATCCAATCCAAAAGTTGTTGGTTAGTCTATAGACTTTCACACCACTATTGCACGAGTGGGCATGGTCTCACCAGGCAGGTCACTGCTGTGGTTCACAAGGCCTAAGGTAGGGTTGGGCTGAGAATTCCTTTCTTCCTCTTTTACCACTCTGTCACTAATAAAACTAGGCAAAATGGAGAAGCTTCCAGTTCAATACCAGTTTGACATTTTCATGATCTACCATTCAAGCATGTGGTTTCTTTGGAACCTATTGTTGCCATCAATAGGTTGCCATCAGTTGGGGTAACCAAGACCAAGGGCAATAGCAAGCAATATTTGGGGATCTATGTGAATTTTCTGGCCAAACAAGGCAATCCGTTCCTAGCACTGGGCTTTTTAACTTTATTCACTTTGTATCCCCCATAAACCCCACCCTCCTCCCCTCCTAATCCCACCTTCCCTCTCCCCTTTTCACGCATGCTCTTCCCCAAATCTACTGATAGGAGAGGTCCCCCTTTCCTTCCTTCTAAACTTAGTCTATCAAATCTCATCAGGAGTGGCTGCATTATCATCTTCTATGGCCTGGTAAGGCTGTTCCCCACTCTGGGGGAGGTGATCAAAGAGCAGGCCAATCAGATTATGTCAGAGGCAGTCCCATTACTATGTAACCCACTTGGACACTGAACTGCCATGGGCTACATCTGTGCAGGGGTTCTAGGTTATCTCCATGCATGGTACTTGGTTGGAGTATGAGTCTCTGGGAAGACCCCTGTGTTCAAATTTTCTGGTTCTGTTGCTCTCCTTGTGGAATTCCTGCCCTCTCCACATCTTACTATTTCCCACTTCTTTCACAAGATTTCATATTTCTCTGAATAGCAGCTTTCTTTCTTATTCTTGCTTTTTCAGTTTGTGTTCTATTAGATTACCTACTGAGCAAAAAGCCCAACTAGCTTATACAAGACTGCCTGCTCAGTTTCAGTATCTTTATCCTCTTCGCCATTTATGACAGATATTTAATCATACTATCTGCAATGTTAAATCCCTTCAGCATGAGTGTATGCAACTTATTTATAAACTTGAGCGTTTTTATGGTATTCTGCTTTCTCCATCAAAGCAATGTATACCATTATGTTCCTCAAACCTTTTCAAATCATCATTTAACAAATAAATAGTCAACATCTTGAACTTGTCTAAAATTCCATATAGAACCAAACAGTCAGCTACAGACCCCACTCTCCTACCTGCATCTTTATGTGCACAGCTCACACAGACTTCTAGTATAACAACTGCCTGTCAATAGCTAAACTCCACTGACACTCCAGCTTTCAGTTTTGCTGATCTCTCCCAAATTATGCTGCTTTCAAAGACCAAATGTCATTTGCATGTTCTTGACACAAAGGGCTGAACACATGCATAAATCAGGCTCATGTGTTTCATGTCTAATAGGAAGTACAAGGATGACCAAAGACATACTTTGACTGTTTTCCCTGCTAATCTTGTCCGATACTCTGCAAATATAAATCAGATAATGTTACTTTTCCACATGTGTTCATGAGCAAATCCTGTCCCAATTTCCTAACTTAAACCTTTCTGCTTTCTCTTCTTTACTGTCTACCATATACTCCTCAACCATTACTTCATTAGGACAAGGAATGTTATGTTTTCCACATTATTCTATTTAATAAATACCACCATCCATGTTATTGAAGAAATTAAACCTTAAGTATGAGCATTGTTTTTTCCTCTTTGTCAAACTGCCTCAACAAACCTGTCCTACCATACATTCTTCTGTGCAACAGATTCTTATTCAATTGCTCTTGATGTCCTCATTCCCGCACTCATTTGTACATCAGCCCAAACCATCACAATTTACCAGTATAAAATTGCCTATGACTGAACACACACACACACACACACACACACACACACACACACACACACACACACCAGAAAACAGCAAAATGCTTGATTTCTAGTTGTAAAATAATCTAATAAATAATCTAACTGCCTTCAAATTTTATGAAGAAATGTTTGACATTTTGAAAAGTTCAAAAACTATCAACAACCAAGAAAATTTTTTTAACTTTTATTAATTACACTTTATTCATTTTGTATCCCCCCATAAGCCCCTCCCTCCTCCCCTCCCGGTTCCACCCTCCCCCCTCTTTTCTGCATGCATGCCCCTCCCCATGTTCACTGATTGGGGAGGTCCTCCTCTCCTTCTTTCTGATCTTAGTCTATCAGTTCTCATCAGAAGTGGCTGCATTGTCAGGGTTCTAGGTTATCTCCATGAATAGTCCTTGGTTGGAGTATGAGTCTCTGGGAAGTTCCCTGTGTTCAAATTTTCTTGTTCTGTTGCTCTCCTTGTGGACCAAGAACATTTTAAAATGGAAATTGTAGTTAAAACAAAAACCATTCCCACTGGATTGATTTAAACTTGTACAACCATTCTGGAAATCAATCTGGCACATTCTCAGACAACTAGGAATAGCACTTTCTCAAGATCCAGCTATATCACTCCTAGTCATATATCCAAAAGAGGCTCAAGTACACAATAAGGACATTTGCTCAACCATATTTGTAGTGGCTTTATTTGTAATAGCCAGAAGCTGGAAACAACCCAGATGCCCCTCAACTGAAGAATGGATACAGAAATTGTGGTACATCTACACAATGGAATATTACTCAGCAATGAAAAACAAGGAAATCATGAAATTTGCAGGTAAATGGTAGGAACTGGAAAGGATCATCCTTTCCAGAATGAGCTGTTCCAGAAGCAGAAAGACACACATGGTATATACTCACTCATATAGACATATAACATAGGATAAACCTACTAGAATCTGTACATCTAAAGAAACTAATCAAGAGGGAGGACCCTGACTAAAATGTTCAATTCCCATCCCAAAAGGCAAAAAGGATGGACATCAGAAGAAGAAAACAGGAAACAAGTTAGGAACCTGCCACAGAAGGCCTCTGAAAGACTCTGCCCTGCAGACTATCAAAGCAAATGCTAAGACTTATGGCCAAGTGTTGGGCAGAGTGCATGGAATCTTATGAAAGAGGTGGGAAATAGTAAGATCTAGAGAGGACAGGAACTCCACAAGGAGATCAACAGAACCAGAAAATTTGAACACAGGGATCTTTCCAGAGACTCATACTCTAACCAAGTACCATGCATGGAGATAACCTAGAACCTCTGCACAGATGTAGCCCATGGCAGTTCAGTGTCTAAGTGGGTTCCATAGTAATGGGAAGAGGGACTGCCTCTGACATAATCTGATTGGCCTGCTCTCTGATCACCTTCCCCTGAATGGGTAGCAACCTTACCAGGCCATAGAAGATGACAATACAGCCACTCCTGATGTGATATGATAGACTAAGATCAGAAGGAAGGAGAGGGAGACCTCCCCTATCAGTGGACTTGGGGAGGGGCATGCATGTAGAGTGGGGAGGGAAGGTGGGATTAGGAGGGGAGGAGGGGAGCTTATGGGGGGATACAAAGTGAATAAAGTGTAATTAATAAAAGCTTAAAAATTTAAAAAAACAACCATTAAATTTTAATGAAGCAAGTGTAGCAAATATACATGGTAAAAATTCAAAATATATGGAAGCATTTGAAATTATTGAGGAATAGGGACCATCTCTGACATGAACTCAGTGGCTGGCTCTTTGATCACTTCCACTTTAGTTGGGAGCATTCTTACCAGCCCACAGAGGAAGACAATGCAGGCAGGCCTGATGAGACCTGATAGACTAGGGTCAGATGGAAGGGGAAGAGGACCTCCCCTATCATTGGA